ACGTGATTTTTAGGAGAAAAGATCGAAACTTATGATTATTAGTAAGGAATCTTGACTTCATAAAATGCGCAATGTAGAATAACTGTCCAAATTAGGTTTCGGTTAACTGCGAAATTTTGAGCCACAAAAAGCGCATAAAATGAGCTAATTGAGCTTTTTAGGACAAAAAAAATCGAATGCAAGGTTTCGCGCAGATTGACAATTTTCAACTTAGGTTACAGTCAGGCAGAAAGCTGCGACACCATATATATGCCAAATATATGCGAGCCGTGATCAGAGCATTACAATTTCTCATTATAAATTCAGAGAGCCTTAGCTCAGAAAGAAGGAGTGTTATCTTCAACAGTACCAAAAAAACAGATTCGGTTGCAATTAGAAAAAAAGCTTTAGAAAACGAAAACAAAGAATGTAGTGCCTTGGGACAGCTAAGTATAAAGTCTGTCCGAAGAGGTTGTTCCGCGGCAAAGTTGAAGTATTTCCAAGTATCTCGTCCACATACATCTCGTCACTGCATTTGCAACAACGCAACTCATTCCAACACTACATTGAAAATGCAAGGCCACGTTACAAAGCTTTAGCTTTAGCGAATGTCTTAGCATAAGATTGTCAGTACAAAAGCAATTAGATAGCAATTCAGCCGAATTATATAGACATATAGGCGATGAAAGCAGCGTGTGATAGCAGCAGCAGTAGCAGCAGCAAGCGATGTCACTGTACCTCGTAAGAGAGCGGCAGAGGTGCCAATGCGCGCACAGTGACAGTGCGCTCCGCATGCTCCAGCCGCGGGCTGCGCTGATTCAGACGTTCTGCTTCGGCCATTGTCGACGCCAGCGACTAAACCATGCCAAGATTCAAGAAATTGACACATTGACCTCCATCTTGATTCTCTCTCTTTTTTCAACATCATCGGTGCTTCAATGTGCTTCGAATTTTAGGGTGAACAATCAGTGTCTTCACCCAAATCGCGCATCTACGAAAATGAAACGGCTGGAGGGACTGTCAGCAAGATGCTGCTTGCCAGCAAATGGCGAAAGTAGGGTAATGAAAAAGAGGTCAGAAGTTTGACGATGTTGGAAATCCCTAAAAAGAACCCTAAGGTCAAACTACAGTTCAGTATTAAGTGCTGATGTGCTGGAAGTAAAAAGCGGTATGAAATCTGTTGGCACAGCCATGCAAATTTGTTCCACTCTATTAAGCGTATTAGAGATGTCAGTGGGAATTATAGTAAAAAGAAGTCATGAATATTACGAATGCGAACCGGATTCTGTGGATCGAAACCAGGTGAGACGCCTTCCCCTTTCAGGTGGTACTTCAGCTCGTTCGTTTCTCGGCGTACGAGTTTTCCATCCTTGTCCTGTGGATCCACGTATAGCGGCAATGTCACATCACCACTCTTTAAATAAAGTGCCGTGAGGTTAACCGTATTAGTTGTATTAGAAAATTTGATATGAAAGAAATGACTATAAATCGTCCTTACAAGGCAGTTTTGGAAATTTCTACATAATG